GGCCAAGCGAGCATACTGCTTGGGAAGCTATGGTTTGGAAGCCTACAACCAATACAAGAAAAAGTTGAAAGAGGCCCATTCCAGTGCCCACACGGGCAGCTTTATCAGTCTGGAGCAGAAGACTCTGGAGCTTTTGCGCAATTGCAAATGGGCACACCTGTGGCTCCCACAAGCAACAGCTAAAACTCAACAAGGCCAACAGCGCAGAGCCAAGAACGCTTGAGCCGCTCCAGGCTAAAAGGCCAAGACGGTTACCACTTGGAGATGAAGATGACGATGCATACATTTGAGAGCATTTTTGTTTGGCCCATTTGGGCATTTCTCGGCCTCTGTGGATCTTCTGGCCTGGTTTCGGAAAAAGGTTTGGGCAAGTCGGCAAATCTGTTCATCCAATTGGACATTTCTTCTGCAGTGTTTCGTCACGTTCCTGTGACTTTCTCGAACTGTTTCTGCAACAACCAAGACATTTCTGCTCAGCCCTGCTTTCTATTGCCCTTCCTACTAAATGGTACTGTTTCTCTGAGCTAATAACTAAGTTAAGATTATCTAGTTGTAAACTGCTTTGTCTTGTTGTCGTAGTCATGTTCACTTGGCAAAGTAATGACGGATAATGTAGGTATGGTTGTGTCGGCTTGTGCACGGGATTTTGGCGTCTTGCATGCAATTTCAGCGCCATTGGTAAAATTCTGTGATGCCCCTTTGCGGCTTGTGCTCATTATTTGTATGCACTTGCGCAAAAGTCCGGGGACTCCGGCAAAGCTACGTGCCGTCCTATCACTTACCCAAGCTACTTTTTGGAGGCATTTGCGCCAATATCCACGCACTGGCATAAAGGGGCGTACCGCCAGATCTCTGTACGGAGCACACTTTTTCGACGCACTTCCACAAAAATATGACGGACTCGCAGGGACATTATGTTTGTTCATTTGGGCAATATGAGCTGTGAACGAGTACATGATTTGGCGTATGTGGGTAAAATAATGCCCTTCGACATGATAAGGGACCCACATAAATGAGTCGCTAAAATTTGATCCAGCGTTTTGTGCACCTTCCCCATAATATCCACTTTGCCCAAAATGCGCTTCTTAGATGCATGTTCAGTAAGTTGTACAGCCCAAAGATCATCCACACCCAGACCTTGGTATTTGATGGGACCATACACCAGAGCCCTGGGGAGCTTGTTCTGGACCTTAATTTTGTGCAAGGCATGAGTAAGAATGGGGGCCATGATGTGGGAGCATTGCTTTCTGGACAGGGTGGTAGCCATCAAGGGATACTCCAAGGACTTCATGATGGTGCTGTTGAGGCAGTACCATAAGTCATTCTTGTTGACTTTCTTATCCCTCACAGAACTAGCCCACTGTATGGCTTGTTGCCTCATGTATTTGACTTGGTCAGACATGTTGCCACTGGGACAGAGAAGATACCAAGTGCTTTCTGGGCCTTGTGTACAGAGAGTCTCTTTATGGGTCGACGGGTACCAGTGTCGTCATCTTGGAGGAGTAATTGACCAGGCAGTTCGGAGGGGGATTTGTAGGTCCATAGTCCTTGAACACATTTGTAGTCTACGCCCCAAAACCAACTCTTCTTGTAGTCGAGTGCACCACCAGTAACTCGAAGGAAGGAGTCCCAGTGATCAAGTACATCCTGTGCTTCAAGCATGACTTGCCTTCCTTTTGTGTAGTTGTCAGGCCCAGAATGAACCAGGTCAGTATCATCTACAAATTGGAAGCATACCAAGTTCACCAGATCGTTTCTAATTGCAGACCAAGAGGCATAGCCAAAGCCTTCATGCCGCATGGCATCGACAATAACAGTTGCCACGGCTGCCCAGCCTGTGTTGGAAGGTGTTCATCCGAGTGAGGTTGTTGATGTAGGCACGAGTTGTCATCTCGCTAGGCTTGTGCATCTTACGACGCATGAAGCATTTCTGTTTTTCGAGAGCCTTGTAAGGACAGGCTTGTTCGATCACCGCGTTGATTCCGAAGGTGATGTCCACATCGCTTAGAGCGGGTTCCGCTGCACCGTCCCATGCAGTTTGGACACGAGCTTGGAATTGGACTTCGGTTTCTCCAGCAGCCACGTAGCGTGGAGCAATTGCATTCACAGCAATTTGTCGAAGGGCGTTATGACGCACGGCACTCTTTGCAGAGCTGGAAGTCATCTCCTTGAGAAGACGATGTTTGTCGTCGGCACCAGCAAGGTTGAGTCCAACGAAGACCTTCTCCATATTTGCGGCCCACTTGATGGTCTCACGTGGTGTGTTGGAGCCATTGATGATGGCTACCTTGAAAGTGTACTTGGCACTATTTGCGTCTGCAGGTGGTTGCACGAGTGTCGTCGACCTCGTTGTCTTCGTCATTGTCGGCAAGAGGAAGAATGGGTTTGTCACGCAACTGTTTCTCGAAGTTGCTGAACGCATGCTTTGCTTCCTTGAGCAATCTTCATGGTGAAGGAATAGGTTGAGGGTAGCTGAAAGCTATTGTGTTTGTTAACAAAATGCACTACACTAAAAGCTAGTGTAAAGATCTTTCGAGTGTTTTGAGTTTGAGAGAATGAAAGTTATGAGAGAGATTAGAAAGCTATGAAAACTAATCCATGAGAGAGATCGTTGTGAAGCTCATTGAAGTTGGTCTCCCGCGGGAGGCCTCGAAGTGTGATATCGTAGGTTATGGTAATAACTCTACGTACTTCACGGTCCATTTCCGGAACACATGGAAACTTCAGCTAGTAGCTGTCTAGTAGCGTGGAAGCTTTCCACGCCGGCTAAATATCTAGAGCGATGTTCCATCGACAACCTAGTATGACTAGCAGTCATGAGAACCCTGTCTCAATGACTATTCGCGAAGGACTACGTCATGAGTTGAACTCAAACCCTATCTAGGATCGAGTCGCGAACGTGCATTGGAAAAGTGGTATTTTTGCAAGAAAACCTTGAGTACTGAATTGCTATAGTGATTGGAAGGGTTTCACAAAATTTCCCCCTTTCTTTCACCATAACTGACATCCATGAAAGAAACGCTGCTTGCTGCACGAAAGAAACGCTGCTTGTTGGACGGTATGCGTCCTATGGAGCCTATGGAGTTATGCAACAAAATATGATTATTAGTATAAACTGGAAGTCAGGTCTTTATGGCCACTTAGAACTTCAGTAAGACTAGCAGATTAACAGTTGTGTGTGATCGCTGCTGCTTGCTGCTTTTACACGAAGTGTCGAAGCGTCATTATTTTGGTTTTGCTCGAACGAAACTCCTTTCCTCTGCTCCTCAAAGCAATGAAACTCCTTCTCAACGTTCTCTCCAATGTTCCCTCCAAAGCTCCAATCTCTTGGCCCATGGCGGTGGCGACGGCAACTGACTACTGGTACCTGTAGCTATTTGAAGACACCCATCTGAAAACTGAAATCCTACGTTTTTTAAAATGTGACACGACGATTTTGCTGTTGTGGCATGGAAGTTTCGCTTGGTGGTTGTCATAAACGTTGTAGGAGCTTGTTTTCGGTGGAAACTGAATGTGTCACTTGGTGGAAGGATGTTACATTAACTCGTCAAGTGGGGAGTGGCAGGACCGTTGGCGACTGTGGAATGAAACTGGAGACCCTAATTGACTACTGCCCTAGCAACAACATTGTACCCCCAAATATTGCGCAGCACCCCCCCACACACACACACAAAAAGCAGAGCTCAAGGCACGAATGGAACCATGGAGGAATCGAATGGAATGGAATGGAATGGAATAGCACAAGCAGTCCCTACTAGCTAGCAGTAGGACCGGTATGCGGTCTAGCTATAATGAGCTAAGCTTCCAGCGGCCATAAGATTTTACCAGTGATGAAGGCAACGACTCTGATAATGTACTTCACTTCAATTGAAAAGCAAGCAACAAGCAAGGAAGCAGGGAAAGGAAGCAGGGCAAACCAATGAACTTTCAAAAGTGTCTTGGTCATCACTTCACCATTCTTCCTTTGCTCTCAAGGACAAATGCAATGATTTCGGAGAAGATGTGAAGTGAGTGATAATCCCTGACTGTGTACTTGTTCCACCAATCTTCCAACTCCAAGGCCTGTGTTAGGTCCTGTGCAAACGAGTGCTTTTCTCAGTGCTGCAATTTCGAGTTTGCACAAGGGAGTACTTCTCCTCCACTTCCTCATCTAGATGAGCACCGCGAATAAAGGATTTCATGTCCCACCATGTACAACCTCCAACAAGTTCTTGGTGAGTCTTAATGCTGGTGTGGTGCAGGTGCAGATAGTCCCGTACATGTTTGCTCTCCCACGACTTGAACCTGGCTTCAGTATCTCTGGCGTCTGTAGTAGCACCAGTCTTCTTGTATGGGAGCACCGTGAAGAACAAGTATGGGTTTCCCTCAATGTGGGTGATATGTCCCGCCATCTGACACATGGCATGGAAAGAGAACCAACGACAGCAGATTCATGGCACCGCTCAGCGGATTTGTCTGGGGAGGTGTGCCTTAACAATAAAACTTCGTTATTTTTTTCAATGACGGCAGATCCATGAGAACCAAAAACAAGGGTCTCGTTAATGTCTGTCGTACGTATCGGTGTAGTAGTGACTCCAAACACCATGCTGATGGAGAGGCATCTTGGCAAAGAAAGCTCAATCTGGCTTCTTTGTTTCAGTTTCATCCCAGCACAGAGAATGGTGACCAATGCGATGAGGCATAGTGGTGAAAGTGGCATTGGCTGGGTGTCCACTTTTCCCTGAATAACGGAGCAAGTCAAGTGCCATTCATACTCTTCCTAATTGTCTTCGCCCGTACCCTAACCCATCAATTCCAGGCATGCATCCTTGATTCGGCTCACAATGTTTCTAGCAGCAGTGGATGCTTTGGGTTGGTTTAGAATCTGCATGGAGCTTACTGAAGTTCTCTACGATCTGTTGAAGTCCGTCCACCCAGTCTCCTTCGTTAGTTCGTCTGGGCATGAAGGTTGCCTGTAACATGTTCAAGGTTGGCATGGCGGGAGAGTACTTTTGAAAATGTTATCCACAGGATGGAGCCTGAATAATTTGCGGTACGGTTTCAACTTCCTCCGGGTGAACAAGGTTATAGAATTTGTCCAGGGTATCAGTGTCCACTTTGATACATATGGCATTACAGTAGTGCTTGATGGAAATCTCATATTGTTGCACAGATCCCCCTGTTCCCGGCAATTCGATGATTTCCTTCTGTGCTGTCACTTCCTCAACACGCATGATGACTTTATCAGCCACGATGTCAAAGTTTGCTGCCGGTGAAGTTGGCTGATGTACTGGATTCTGGTCTGCCAATTTGGTTGTCATGTTGGAAAAGAGAGTTGCTTCCGTGCCTGTGGTGCCTGCTCGTTCCCGTGGAGCATATTTTGGAGAAACTACGGTAGATTCTTTCGCTGACTCTGCCTGCATGTCGGACTCTGTCACATTATATCTTCATACGTGTATATATTACTACTAGCCAGTTTCTATATTGGCTGGCTCCTCCAACTGCGTACATAGTGTCTGCACAACAACCTCCATATCGGGTACTTTTTCACGGGAAGCCGAATCGAATCGAGGAGCTTCCCCTCTGAATCTGTCACTACAAGAACAATACTGATAGCAACAAACACAACCAATCGGCCATACCTATACCATTACACTACCTATTAGCACCATTAGAAGCATTGAAACGAAGCGAAAGGACCTCAGGAAGCCTGTTTTCTGTTATCTTGTTGAAGAGTACTGTTTTACTATAGGAATCCGCTCAACGTCATCACAGGAAACACACTCCCTTTTCCTCTCTTTATCTCTCTTTCAAGCCCTCCGGTTGACAGGATCGACACCTCTGGTATCTCCTATCAAGCGCACCTCTCCTATCAAGCGACTATCAAAGCGGCCTTCCCCGGTTCAGATTAGAAAGCCATCCCAATTGAAATCCTACGAGATCGGGCGGGTTTTCTATTCTCGACCGCCGACGGCCAAGTTGGCAGAATTTGAACACAAGAAGAAATCTCCGGTCTTCCCCAGCACAGTACAGAAAACAATTCCCATACGTATTTATCTTTTTCGAACGATCGATCTTCTCCTCCCTCAACAACAACAGGCTCGGTTAACCTTACCTCTAAGGCAACCGGTGACGTGGTTTCGAATCGAATCCAAGACTCGCTCCTCCGCGAATCGATCGATCTTCCCGCGAACGTACCTCTTCTTCGTACCTCCCGCGACCGTACCTCTTCCTCGGTACCTCTTCCTCCGTACGCAGCCTCCTCCCATCAAGAAAGACTTCACGAGATACCTGCAGTGACTGCCGAGAACAGAAACACAGCTGTATTTCTTACTTTCTCACCGGCCACTCTGGGTTTCCCCCGACGTCCTTGTTGGAACTTGATCCTACTGATCCAACCAGTCCTATCCCTATACAGACTGATTGACTGATCCACACCTGTCTACTGTTACCACCCTACATTGAATCTAACTCCTCCCCAAGGAACAACAAACAAACAACAACAGAGTTCCTGTAAGGACTTGAGTTCAAGAGTACACGGCTGCATATAGCCCTCTGCAGCCAGTCATCCTCCTCAGACTTTATCACCAAGCTTGGCTGCACTCTCATCGTTCGACAGCCCCTCCCTGAGATACACAGCTCCTCTCCAAAGGATCTCACCCCCACAAGAACAAACCACAAAAGCTGCCCCTCTAGCGTATCTGGCTAGATTGTGCAACACCTTCATTGAAACGCCACCTCTCTGCTCCTGCCCTGACCCTCCTACTGAGCCTAGGAACTCCAAAGGATTGAGCCCCAGACAGACTGAGCGTGGTGTGCATAGATATTAATACATACTGACTCTTTCCCTCTCTCATTGATTGTTGAGTGATCTCCAGTGACTTTCCACAGTCCACCTGAATCGAGTGTTGTTTCTTGTAACACTCTAGCTTATAAGGTAAAATACTGTTTTAATGTTAAGCTATTTCCAAGAAGTGATCTTTCTCCATGTTTCTGGGATTGATTCAACTTCAAAGGTTATAGTGAAGGGGGTGACCTATAGATCAGTTAAACTCCCCATTGATGTAACTAGAGAATAGATATAGATATCCCCTTCTAACTAGATTGGGGTAAACGACTAATTTGTATTGAGGTGGTCTGTAATAAACCTCCAACACACTCCTGCACGGTTCATAAAGGATACCGTGGAACGAATAATTAATGTAATGATGGTTGCTCCATAAGGAACAGTTGTTGGTCGAGGAGAGACCAATTGCTAGGATGCTCGGCATTCCGCTTGGTGGCGAGAAGCTTGCCATCCATAGCAGTGTTGACAAATCTGTCACAGTCAATGTGGACATGTGAACAGTGTCGTCATGAAAAGCAACTGTGGCTACCACTCCTGTGGTGTTGCCACTCTGTATGACTTGCTGTGGCATTGATGCCGTCACTTGATGTTGCTGTATTCGAAACTGGGAAGTTCCGATCACTTGTTGAACCGTGGACTGGGAAGTTCCGGTCACTTGGTATTGCTGTAGCTGGAAACTAGGAAGTTCCGGCTGCATTCTCGTAGACTCAAACTGTGCTCTTGACTGGCGGTGTAGACTGAACTGGAACTCGAATATGCCATGGTCTCAATCGCCAATGATGTGTAGAAACATCAATCCATTCAGGCTTGATACGGATTGGGAAATCAGGTGAGCTGAGTCTGTGCAATAGCTTGGTAGCTATCTAGAGTCAGCTTGTTGTCCATTGGATTGGAACGTGAGCTGTCCTTCTTGTTGGATGTCCAATAAGTGTTGGATGTCCTTGCTGTTGTCTTTTCAGAGGGATGGAATCCTCTTCTTCCCGGCTGGGAAGCTTCTTCCTTCATACACGGCCTTCCTCTTCTTTCGATTCGAATGGCTGTGACTTGTTAGTACATGATGTGTGCTTACTTGATGTGGACCTTGGTTCTGCACCACTTGTAGATGGGTGCTGGAACTTGTGGCGTTCCGTCGAACTGTTGTTGCTTTGAGCTGGTTCCATGGGGAACGTTCCTTGGAACTGTGGGAATCCTCTGGCGAAGATATCCCGGTAGCAATGGTGTGGGCTACCCTTGCTTGAGTAGCTTGCTCTGCTTGATAGGTGCGTATCTGCTGGTCACACTTCAATCTATGATGGATCTTCTGAGTCGATCGCGAGAGTCAAACTGAATCGATCTCGTGGTCGCTGCTTGTGATTCGATCGCTTCGTGTCATTCGATCTGGCATAATCGTTTCTTGTCAGTCGATCTGGTGTGTCAATCTGGATAGATCGATCGGAGAATTCAAAGGAAGGTTGAAAAAGGTTTGAGACTTTGGTTTTGGTGGGTACAACTTTATCAATACCACTCCTGCTGTCACTGTTGGCACACTCTTGTAGCTAGCTGTGGCAGAATTGTACTTGTTGTACCAAACTGGCTTGGTTGGTTTGGACATTGGATGCAACTTGGATTGCTGTGGAGCTTGAGGCGGTGCCTCTAGGATGCCTGAGAATCGATAGCAACTCAATGTGTCTATCTGTGCTTGGGTAAGCAGGCTCCTACCTTGGAAAGGCTTTGTAATCCAAGTCTCACGTCGTCGTGCCGACTGGCTTGCAATGAGTCCAAAACAAACCTTGGAAGTAGTTGCTCGGCATCCTGCTTGGTAACGAGAAGCTGAGCGGTGGAGACGAGACAATACATGCAATGAACAATACATGCAATGAATGTCATCGTCGGAAAGGTCGTTGGGCTGGCACTCCTTGAATGATGCCACTCCTGGAAGATTGGTGTCGGATGATACCGTCACTTGGTGTACCTGCGGCTCGGATTGGGAAGTGCGGCTGCATTGACACTTGATGGGGCGGGAAGCCCTGTAGATGGAAGCTGTTTGAGCTTCTGGAAGTCGTAGATTGTGGGAAGTGATGCCTATTGGAAGGTGCATGGAAGCTGGAAATGATGTAGCTTGGAAGTCACGGACTTGTTGGGTTCGACTGAACCTAGTTCTTGGATGGTCTCGATGTCTGAAGATGGAATGAGGAAATGTTTGAGTTATTGTTTCCTTTGTCATGGTTGTTTATACTCATGTGAGACTCGTGTACTGCTGGTGTCATCACTTGTGGTGACTGTGCCGTCACTTGGTACACTTGGTACCGTCATTTGGTGTTGTCGTAGCTGAGACTGGGAATTCAGGCTATAGCGACACTTGGGAGAACTTTGTAGTAGCTGGAACTAGGAGGAAGTTCCTTGCCACAATGATACTTTGAGTTGGGGCTGGAAGCCCTTGGAAGTTTGGATACTTGTAAGGAAGTATTCGGTAGTAGTTGTGGATGCTCCAACTTGATGGGCTCCACTGGACCTGGACGTGTCACGGTTCGATGATGGTTCGATGGTGATGTAGTCGGTAGATCCTTTGGTTGGTGATGCCACTGCTCTTACACTCCTGTGAGTTGGCTGTGGCAGGACAAGTGTTGGCTTGTCACTGCTCTTACACTCCTGTGAGTTGGCTGTGGCAGGACTTGTAGTTGTCCGTAGTTGTATCTATTGTAGGCTTGATTTGTTGTACTCATGTACTTCTGTTGGTGTGAGACTAAGGTTGGTTGCAATCTCTGTACAGTAGTTGCAGTGGAGCTGAGGTGTGCACCCTCTTGTTGTTTCTATTGATCAGGTTCCCGCTTGTGGGTCAAACTCTGAATGCTCCAGCCATCCTCTGGCTTGGTTCCTTGTCTTGTGAACTCTTGAGTTGCTTGTAGCTAGCTACTCGGTTCAACGTTCACTGTCGTTCTGCTGTTGTTGCAGTTGCCGTTATTGTAGATGCCATTTGAATTTGGTTTGGTCGATTCATTGTAATCGGTTTTGTAGTGGTAGTTACCGTTGTTGGCTGTTGTTTCCATTGGTAGCGGTAGATACCGTTGTGGGCTGTTGTTTCCATCGATGCTGGCTGTTTATGTAGCCATTGATGGTTACGGCATTGCCTATAAAGGCGGTTGTTTTGATGATTTTGTTTGTAGGATTGAAGGTTTTGGATTTGGGTACCCTCACACTCCTGTGCACTTGCTGTGATCAAATAGCAAGGCATGGTCATGTAATGGTATCTGTTGTTGCCTACCTAGAGGCTGGTGTTGCCTCAGGTTTGCCTGTAATCAGTGGAGGAAGTGCTGTGTTTCAGTTGCACAATACACTTTCCATAAAAGGTAGTAGGAGGTGCTGTGGCTGGGATGCCACAATACACACTCCATGAAAGGGTAGGAGGTGCTGAGTGCAAACTCAATACACACTCCAAAGAAAATATTCAGTGCTGGAGGTTGCACACTCCTGTGATTCCTCTAGCTTTGCACTGCT